CACACACACACACACACATTTCTCTCTCTCTCACACACACACACACACACACGTGGCGTGGCAGAGGTAGATGATGGTGCGCAGGTTGAGAGAGTACACGACGTTCTGCCGTCGGAGGTTGAGAGAGGACGACGTGGTGAGGACGCAGGTTGAGAGAGAGAAGGGCGTGGCAGAGGTAGATGATTGTGATGCGCAGATTGAGATGGAGGAGGACGTGGTGAAGGCAGATGCTGCTGTGTTGGTTGAGGGAGAGGAGGGGCATGGTAGGGGGGGACGTCACCCATGGTAGAGGAAGGGGGGGCGACCACCTTTACCTGATCGTTCAGCGTTTCGTAGATGACGAGATGGGTCCCGCACTAGCGGGTTCGACCCCGGGCACGAGGAGGGCATTGGGGGTATCGCCATTAGGACAGAGAGGGTCGTCAGGGATGGGGATGCGGGATTTCATGGAGATGTCTTTGGGGGATCCTCCCAGCCCTCGTCACGCAGAGAGAGAGGATACGGCGCGTGCCCTAGCGGTTGCCGACTACTTCACAGAGGAGATCGAGCAGGCATTTGCAAGACACTCCAGGAGAGAGAGAGACGCTTCAGCAGGGGTGCAAGGAGGTTCGAGAGCAGCCTCAGGAGGAGAGTGAGGATGCACCCGATGCAGATATCCCCGGAGGTAGCGGTTCGTTGGTACGGTTCACTGGCCTTCAACTGACGACGATGATGCGGTCAGTTCAACCGTGTGTACAGGGGTCAGGTCCTGGGGAGGTGGTGTCTGTTCAGGTAACACCGGTCATAGTCGTGGATTTAGGATCTGAGCCAGCGCTTCAGACACCGGTTAGTGGGCGGCGAGCTCCTCAGGATACAGCTTGCCCATTGGATTTGGCGGAGCTCGCACGGGCTGTTGTGTGTGACGTCACACGGCAGGAGGACACCGATACTAGCAGACCACTCATGCCGCCTCCTCCTCCGAGACCACGTCACAGCGATTCCCCCTTGACACCAGTACGTCCGCCCCCCGCTCACCATCCACGCGCCAGACCCAGGGTTCGTGACACGACGGCCGTAGGGAGCCTCCCTCTTGACACGTCGCTATTCGGAAGGACGAATATCAACCTCGACTCCACACGTTGGGTCACAGTGCACACTGCACGACGCCTGTCAGGTTTGGGTGAGAGAAGGTTAACAACAGTCATATTTTTCATCACCACTTCAAAACCATGAAAACCACTCTTCACCGAGAAATGGTTAACGGGTGCATATATTTTCAGGTCTCTGTTCCAGGCAGTTCAGCCGCTTCAGGTTACTACTCCACTTTCAAATTGTGTGTGCATCTATACATGGGGTACCTGAAACCGCCTTTAGGCCGTTCAGCCACATCCAGTTGATATACCACTTTCAGAGTGCCTACAGATCCATTGCAACTGGGTGGATGGGGGTACCTGAAACCCCTTTTAGAAGCTTCGGCCACGTCAGCGATTTCAGGTCTCCACCTGAAATTCCTGAAATGACCTGAAGTGACTGAAGCTTCAAAACCCCCATCCAACCATTTGGATGGGGGTACCTGAAACCCCTTTCAGAAGCTTCAGCCACTCAGCGGTTTCAGGTCCCCACTTGAAATTCATGAAATGACCTGAAGTGGTTGAAGCTTCTGAAATGTGTTTTAGGTACTCCCATCCAAATGGTAGGATGCGGGTACATGAAACCCCTTTCAGAAGCTTCAGCCACTTCAACAGTTTCAAGTCCCCACCTGGAATTCTTGAAATGACCTGAAGTCCGAAACTTCTGAAAGGGGTTTCAGGTACCCTCATCCAACCATTTGGATAGGGGTACCTTAAACCTATTTAAGAAGCTTCAATCACTTCAACGGTTTCAGGTCCCCACCTGAAATTCCTTAAATAACCTGAAGTGGCTGAAGTTTCTGAAAGGGGTTTCAAGTAACCCCCATCCAACCATTTGGATGGGGGTACCTGAAACCCCATTCAGAAGCTTCAGCCACTTCAGCGATTTCGGGTCCCCACCTGAAATCTCTGTACTGATCTGAAATGGTTGAAAAGAACAGGCAGAAAAAAAACAAAAAACATAAAACTTATCTTGCAAACCACCCGAAACTTCTGAAATGACCTGAAGTGTCTTCAGGCCATTTCAGTGGTTTCAGACCACTTCAGAATCTTTCATTCTGAAATTTTAGGTGGTCGTTAACCGCGAGTGTCTTCACCAGTTGAGGATGCAGCTTGCCTAAACAGGTGGTTTTCAAGGTTTTCGGTCCTTTCGCCACTTCAGGACCATTCAGGTCTGAAAATCTTGAATGGTCCTAAAGTGGTGAAAGCTCCGAAGACCCTGAAAACCACATGTTTAGGCAGGTTACATCCTCAAGTGATGAAGGGTGGCTTATATGGTCTTCGGACATTTCACCACTTCAGGACCATTGAGGATTTTCAAACTGCCAAAAACTGTTACTTGACCACTTCAGGACACCCTTCACCACTTGAGGATGCAGCCTGCCTAAATATGTGGTTTTCAAGGTCTTCAGACCTTTCACCACTTCAGGACCATTCAAAAATTTCAGACTGCCAAAAACTCTCACTTCAGAATTTTCATTCCTGAATTTTCAACTACCCGATAACGCTTGTGGTTTGGGTGGGGCTGTAACCGAGAGGGGTGGGCCGAGGGAGGTCATGGCGGCAGTATCTCAGCATCGACATGTTCGTGGGGGTGGAGAGGCCGGGTCTACCTTATAGGCCGCTTTGGTAGCAGCATCATGTGTTTTGTGTGACCAGACTCCTCGCAGGAGCGGAGCAGCTCGTGCGCGTCTCATCCCTGCGGTGGGGGGTCCCGCATTGGGGGAGTCTTCTGGAGCCGAGGGGTTGGGGATGCCGCGCGGTTCATGTCG